TAGCCAACCCCGACTAGAGCCTCGCTTACTGGTTCCGTAAGGAACAGATTAAAACACTTTGTTTAGAATGCTCTGGGGATATTTTCTTGATATGGTGGTTTGAACCACAAATCAATCACAACCCCGATAACGCATCAAGGGCCGGGGAAAAGAGATGGTTGCGGGGAAGACCGACTCTCTCATCCTTAGAGACAGTACTGAGTGGAGTGAGTTGGCGACAGAAACAAGGCTTTGGGATTTCTGAACTGGAGGTGGCCATTCACAGCCACTATTTACAAAATAACTGGACATTTCAAAAGTGCCCAGCCTTTGGCCGGTGCGATTGGATCGTCGAAACTGAGACCAAGGAGAAAAAAAAGCTTGATTAGTTTACCACTCAGAACCCCCCACTGATTTGTCCAGACGGCAGAAGATGAGGCTCTTGCGCATGGCGGGCTGAACCAAGGTCCACGCACTACGATCCGTTTTAAGAAGTGTGGTTTCACAAGATGAGTTGAGGCTTAAAATCACTCTGCCGCCCCGAATAGCACAACCCCACTCTGCCGCTTCGAAAACAGAGTACAGATCCAATACTTTTGCCGGATCATTCGTATTCATGTCATGCTGCTCCGGTGCGCAGACATGTAGATTTTACTTTCATTCGGCACGACAAACTAGGAATGTGACAGCTACTCGGAGTTAGGGACAACTGATCTTTACTTAGCGTGTCTTAGAAATGCTCGGACTGCGTGAATTAATTCTGGTATCAATATGTATCTCTGATTTGCCCTATGGGGTAGACTTTTGGCTGCAGAAAAGCGAGGATCAACCAAGCGGAAATCGTCTACAGTCCCCCCCGCACTTCAGTAGTTCTGAGAGGTTGTGTCAGGCGTCACGACATCGCGAACTGGTGGGGCCACAACCACAGCATCACGGCCACGTCGCCAATTCTCGGGGTTGGCTTGGGCTATAATCGTGATAGTTATTCGATGCTACCGGGTATTATCTTCCGGAGAGCATGCAGTGATGCAATCCGAGTCTTCATTGCAATCGTTGTACTAGAAACCATAAGGTTTGTGATATGATTTCTAGAGATCCAGAGCTTCGTTAGGAATACATTTTGAATACCCAGCAAGCCACTGAAATTTCACCACGTCAATCAAGAGGTCTTCTGCATCCGGGGAAACGCTCAGCACTGATATTATTTGGAGTGAAGCCAAAGGCTGCAGCTGGAGACTCCGTCAACCCTGGAAATGAGGCTCTCGTGAAACAACAAAAAACAAAAGTTTAGATCGAGCCCGTCAAACGTCGCCAGCAAAGACTGATTGAAGCTCACACTCCCGTCATGACCCCATGATATTAATTCAACGTCAGTGATGAGACGTCATTGATGAAGCATTTTACAAATCGTAACTCTAGGAAGAAACGGGCATTGGTTAGAACTGTCAGGTGATGTCCTGCCGTGTTTTTCGGCGGTGTACCATTTCTCATATATTCAACATCCAGTGGGATTGCATGCCATAATCATGAGAACAGTTTGGACACAGCCCCACATCTGAATACCATATAAAGTTTTGTTCTCTTGCACATTTCGGATTTGTGTTCACATGGCCCAACCACAGCACCGGCAGTTAGCTTTAAAGTGTCCAATTGGGCTGCAGGCTTGGCCGTAGGAAGTCATAGCAGACGTCAGCCATTCGGGTGCGGGCAAGCATGTTAGTGGGTGTTTTACGCGGCCTCAAGTTGAGGGCTCGGCTAGAAGAAACTTCTAAAGAATACCTAAGGACAGCAAAAGTTTACCTGAGGATTGAACAACGTAAAAACTATTAAAAATGCCAGCGAATTTGATACCAATACTGGAGGAACATGCGGTGACGTTTGAAAACTACAAGGCTGTGGAAGGAACTTCCCGATACATGTGCGGGTAAACTCTTTGCAAGGCCGACAGGGATGCTTGACTAACTCAACCTCAGGCAGTGCCCGCCCAGACAGGATACCCGCCTCTGTCAAAAAGTGGAATATGGGAACGAAAGGTCCAAATGAGGAATATAATACGGCTAGGCTGTACGACTAAGATATCAGCCGTGCGTGGTTCGTTTGCAACACAGACGCAAAAAGAAAGTAGTCCATATGTGGACTGCGAGGTAAAGGTCGGAAGTGCTCTGTCGCCGCGCACCCGATGGTTTACTTGACCAAAGATAAGTACTTTGATGCGCACGGCTGGAATGCGGAAGGTTTCGCCGAAAGTTTGCCGCACATTACTTTACTGCCGCCAGCAAGTAGTGTGCATAACAACTATCGGGATCCTTGTACTTGCATGTACCATTACATGCACGGATTGGATCGCTCCAGACTGTCCACTCACACCTGCAACGCGGTTGATGATATCATATCATCCCACTACGGTCGTCTGCAGTACGGAGATTTACCAATACGCCTACTCAGCACTCCAAAACGCGGGGGGAGACTCATAGCAAGCCCTGGCTAAGAAAAGTTAAAGGTACCGGTACCAGGTAGCATGTATCTTTCCCCTCCACAAGCGTCGTCGTCGGCTGGCCCCCGCCCAAAACATATAGTTCTTCCCAGCGATTTTTCCTTTCCTTTCCTCCCCTCCCCCCAGCTAGCTCACCCTCCCCTACAAGGCTCTATTTGAGCCTCCCCCTCTGTGCTTTTACGTCGGATTGTTCTGTGCTCCTAGATCACAGCCTTCCACGGGCCATCTCTATATATGCACGCCCACCAAACAGCCTCCGTTTGTCCACCACCACCACCACCACCGTGCTATGCTCTGATCCCCTCACAATCTGCACAATGGAATTCTACCCCGCTGCCTCCGCAAAGCTTCAAAGTGCTCTGATCGACTGGCTCGCCCACGAGTTGGATCACGCCGCCGATGTCCGCAACCAGGATGCCGAGGTGTTTCTCACGCGACAACAACGTACCGGCGTCTCCCCCGTGCATGGCCGCAGTATGTGTTCTGCTTCTTCCCCCGCGTACCCCTCACTAACGCCCCGCAGTGACGGCGCTGATTCCCGGATTTGGGAACCATAAGGACATCCCGAAGGACTATGGCCTCATCGCGCAGGGTTCGACCTCACAGATTCCGTCGTTCGTCGTGCACCCCGTGCCCGAGAACCTGTTGGACGCCGCACGGCGCTTCTACACTACGCAGTGGGAGAAGCCAGCGAGAGGGAGCGTGCAGCAGGTGGTTCTGATATCGTGGGCGCGCCTTGCCGGAGGCCACCTCGAGGGCAGCTTTGAGGTGTTTACCTACGACGGAAGAGCTGGAGTCGAGGCACTCGTGCAGTCCCAGTGCGGGGTAAGGCTTTTGCATTCTCAACCACGGTACCCAGACTAACGTGCTGCAGAAATTTCTTCCCGAGACGTCGGAGACCATCGAGATTTATCAAAAATCCTTCCTTGGCGGGGCGGTCCCTTGCCCCGAGGCGAAACACAGCCTTAGTTTGGCGACGCTGGCCGAGAACGTCACCAACGCCCTGCAAGACGACGAGCTTCTCGCCGCCCACGCCGCCTCGGAGAGCTGCTGCGTCCCCGCACCCCTCAACATCTCCACCGCCCTGTCACCCAAGCCCGACACAGCGCGTCTCGACATCTTGCTCCGCACCCCATCCGCCCTGGCCCCTCCCATCGCACTCCCGACACCCCCCAGCAGCCCGATCACCTCCAAATTCCCGCCCCCCTTCTTCCCCTCCCCCGCGGCCGCCTTCGCCCCCACAACACTTCACTCCCTCGCCGCCCCCCTCACAGCCGCCGAGTTCCTCACCCTCTACGCCAACATCACCGCAACTCTCTCGCTCCCCATCCCCACGGCCCTCGCCGCGCTCGCCACCAGCTCCTCCACCGCCCTCGCACCGGCCTGCGTCTCCCTCGGCCTCACCCCCGCCGCCGCCACCACCTCTCTCGCCACACTGGCGCTCTACGACCCCATCATCCTGTGCGACGACAGCGGCAGCATGCGCCAACAGGGACGCTATCGGATCCTCTCCGACACCGTCCAACGCCTCGCACCAATCGCCACACGCCTCTCAGGCGTCGGCACAAAACTGCGCTTCATCAACTACGCGCAAGACCGCGGCTTCAACGACCTCCGTACACCAGAACAGCTGAAGGCCACCCTCGCCGCCGTGCGCCCCAAGGGCTGGACCCCGATCGGGACCATGCTGCGCACCAAAGTCACCGAACCCCACATCCTTGCCCCGGCCCGCCGCGGGACGCTCCAGCGCCCCGTGCTCGTCGTGATCATCACTGACGGCGAACCGACCGAGGAGCACCGGAGCACGCTGAAGCGCGAGGTGCTGCGCACGAAACGAGAACTCGCCGCCCTCGGCGCCGGTGAGCGCGCGGCGGTGTTCCAGATCAACTATGTCGGCGACGGCCCGGAATCGCGGGAGTACATAATGGAGCTGGAGCGCGACGAGGAGGTGGCGGGGAAGATCGGCGTGAACTGTGATAAGATTGATGATGCGTTCAAGCGCATGGGAGATAAGTGTGGGGATAAGAATGCGTGGCTGCTGAGGTTGCTTAGTGGTGCTGTGTGGCAGGGGTGTGAGGGTGCGGGCGAGGGGGGGATTGGGGCGCTGTGTTAGGACTGAACTCGGGGGGGTGGAAGAGTGGAGGCGGGGTATGGATGATGGTGGAGATATGGGGCGGGAGGGAAAGAGGGTTGGAAAGATATATTAGGTGGGGGAAGGATATGGGACACTGGGGTGGATCAAAATCGGGGGACGACGTTTTCCTTCGTTTCTGGTGGCGGGCAGGCGGCGTGTTACTTTACTTTATTCCGGAGTTCTGGCGATTTCCTTAGTCTCTGTAGGTTCTTACAGCGGGAGTGTGTATTCTATGTAGTCATTGCAGGCCAAACTATATTTCTCAACCGTTGCGCGCACCGTGAGATGCGATATAACACCATGCTGCCCACTGAACGCACCCACACCATCGCGCGCAAAAGAAAAACTGCCACGATGCAATTGACGGACGACGGGGGAAAGGGCAAAAAGGATCTCTCTGGCGGGGAATTGAACCCCGGTCACCCGCGAACAGAACTGTAACAAGGACATAATCATGACAGGCGGGTATACTAACCACTATACTACCAAAGAAGCGATGCTAAGCTTGCTCACTGAGCGGATATGAGCGGGTTGTACGATACGAGAGGTGAGGCGGTGTTGAGGCATGGGATTGACGGCGGGCGGCGGGAGGAGGAACTGCAGGCCTGTGAACCCGATGTTCACTATTTTGAACACGTGGCAAAATTCTGCGGGGAGTGGGTCAATGGGCGGTCGACTAGGTTGGGGATTGGCAATTCGGCACGTGGTATCACTCGGAGTTGGGGTGTGTGGGGTTGGGTCATGGAGCATCGCGCATATTTCTGCTCGAGTTCTGTCTTCGGGTAGATTTAAACTTGCTGCGAGTACACGGCTATGCGGTCATATACAATGCGGGTGAGCTCTATTGTGTGGCGGCTGAAGCGGGAAAAAATATGTATTGTCATTCCAACGATCTCCACCAAACCACTCCTACACATCTCACAATACCAGTACTTCTCCAGCCCTCACCAACCAGCACACCTTCCGAAACATGCACACCCGCCTCTTAGCTCACTCACGGCACACACCTCGCGCCCCTGTGGCGGCACACAACCCTCCACCCATCCGGCACCTCCACCTCTTCCGGCTCCAGCACCCCCGCCTCCGCACCCTCAATAACACTCCACCCGTCGTCGTCGTCCTCCCAACACTCCACCCCATGCACGCAATAGTAATAGCGATAAAAGAAATCCGGATCCGCGCGCGCATCTTCGTTCCACCAGCCGTCGCGCCAGCTCCAGCCTAGCTCTTCCCAGGGGTATGGGATGCCGACGCAGCACCAGCAGTGCTGGGGGGAGGGTGTTAGTGAACGCTGCGGGAACGGTGGGGACGGCGGGGATGGCGGGATGACGGATGGCGGGGTGGCGGGGTAGCAGGAGTGGCGGGGGTGGTAGAGGGGGGTGAGGGGCTAGTGGGGGTGGGTGCGTACCGAACACATCATGTTATGCCCAACCCGGTCCTCCCACCAGTACGGCTCCCAGTCGACCGCCGGCTCGCGCGACGGCCGCCGCTTCTGCTTCTCGCCGCGCACGAGTCGTGCGTACTCCAGGCCTCGTGAGCGGCGCGGGCGCTTGCTGCGCCGGGGGCGTGGGCGTGGGGTGTGGAGGTCTACGTCGAAGGCATCGAGGGTGGTGGGGCGCATGGGGGTGTTGGGTGGTAGAGAGGTGGTGCGGGTAGTGGTGGTCGTGGTGGTCGTGGTAGGTGCGGTTAAGGGGCTTATATAACTATGTGGTGGGCGGCCTGAAGGTGGCGCTGCGTCACCGCCGCCGCCAGGGGACTGACTCATTGGCGGTTCAGGCCGCCCGTGCAGTATGAGTACCTATGAGGACGCCGGCGATTGCACGCTGGAGCAAGGGCGACAATACTTAGTTCTCCGTCATACCGCTGCAACAACTGGTCTTTGTATCGCCTCGCAGCAGGCGCGAGCAATCGGCAAACCGAAGGTGAATCATAATGAATGCATACCCTTCGAAAGCATCTCGGAATGTTGCAAGCAAAGAAGGCGACGGTGCACTGTGTTGCGTTGTCCCGCGAAGAGAAAGACAAGAGCAGAAATATTGGACGTCTCCGGGACAGCACCATGGGACTGAGCTCCGAGTGCTACTGTGTGCAATGTGTTACGTGGCTTGCGAACGTGCAGACGTGGTGTCCACGATTCCAGGCCAGTCCCGGTACAACGCAAGCGGTCGGCGTGGTGGAGTTCAGGCTGGAGTGCGTGCTCCAAGGCCCGCGGATACCGAAATACTGTACGCGAACCCCGCAGTCAACGCGTCGCAGAAATAGACGTATTCTGGGTGCTATCGCTCATGACCAGTCGATCCCATGGGTAATGTAGGTTTTTGATAAGTATAGCAAAGTAATACTTGTAAGAGGTGCATAAATCTTCCGTGTTGTAATAGAGGAAGAACAAACGAAGGTAAACCTGGGCGAGGAGCAGGACAACGAAAGTTTCATACAGACAAGGAAATACTTGATGTATGATTGAGTGTGCCCCGGAGACGCGAGGCGGATTTCAAAAAGGCCGTGTTTCGAGTGTTTTTGCTCTACTCTGATGCGAGCAATCTTGGGACTGAGATCGTAAGGTGCGTCAAAGCCGTCTTTGTGATAGATCTCACATTAAACGGCCCGCTGAGCCATCACCTGGTCTTTTGCAATAGAACGCAGCACAGTCGAAGCACAAACAGCTTGCTAGCAATACTGGGGCTGACACCGCATTTCGAGTCCCCAGTCGACGCCGCTGCAGCCTGTGTTGCAATTCTGAATTCTGCACGCGTTATCACTCGGTTTAAACTTTAGGTCATATTAAGCTAGGTCTCATCGCCCTGTTTCTGCACGTCTCTTGCTCCTCTCTTCTTGTATCTACTTTTCTCTTCTTTTCCTGTACACTTCACACAGTTAGCACATTGAACGCGATGCTCGTTTCAACACATCATCAGCACCAGTCTCGCTCGATACCAAGCTTCCGGTAGCCGGTAACAATCCCTTTTATCCAACCTTTCTCCACATTGGAATCAACAAAAACATGGCTGCGACGACAGTTCGGCTAACTTGTTGCTGCAGATTCTCGGTCTTGGGTTCTATTACCGAAAGTGCTGCTTCACTCTGTCACCGACAGCTCGTCCATTCTGCTGGATCTCTGGATCGATGAGAGCGAGATTGCTTGGCTTTGGTAGCACTGATAGCTGCGTCTGCGACACAGGAAGCTGTCACAAGCTGCTTCGTCGAGTCGCTATAATGGAAGCTTGCATGAGCTGCTTGATCTCTTGATACATCCCGACTAGACCGTCTGGCCAACGGTACCAGTCGGAGCGTACACAAAAACTCTAGAGTCTGATTTAAAGCAAATTCTGAGACTTGTTGACATGATAAAACACCCGATCTAAAGCAAGACCAGTGCTGACGAGACAACGCAAGCTCTGAAGTTCCTAAAAGGCAAAAACAAAACGATACCCTATCCCGCTTGCACCAGATTCCCTGAAATCACCAAAGACTAAATTGTTTCATCAATGCTGAAGATCCCCTAATCAAAATAACTCTATCTGTACCTCTTTAAGATTTTCCACCTCTCTTGCAGGTCCAAGAACTGTATTGTTTCCTCATTTCGCAATTTTTTCTTTCGGGAGCACTGTCGGCGGTGCGCCTACCCTTCCGCGTCCTACTCCCTCGCACCCCCGTCTCTGCCTTCGCCCTCCTCGGCCTTTCCTCCCTTTTCTCCACCACCGCCTTCTCCCCCCACACTCCCACGCCCCCGTCCATTATCGCCTCAACAGCCTTCTTCCTACACTCCCCCTTCACGCTACCTCCGCTCCAAACCCCACTCAGCCCCCTCGCACTCGTCTCCAACACGGCCCTGACGTCTTCCCTTGCCCTCCCGGCCACCAGCGCCTCAACCACCCCCGCATCCGGCCGCCTCCGCATCCCCAACACAGCAAGCAACAACCACTCCCACCCCACAATCCCCAGCGACACCACCAGCCCCGCCACCATCGGCGCATCAAAGCACTCCCCGCGCAGCACCACCGCCACCGCGCGCGCCGCGGTCCCAGGGTGCCGGCACGCGCAGCGTTCCACACACTCCCAGCAGCACGCGGCACACGGCGCGTCATCGGCGGGGCCGAGCGCGTGGTCGTGCGTGTACAGCGCCGAATTCGCCGGCGCAAGCAGTGGCAGCGGGCGACATGCGCGCAGCAGCCGCGCATACAGCGCCGGCGCCAGCGCAGCATACAACGCGCGACACGTCTCGGTCGCGTTTGCGAGGCTGAGCGTGGGCACGAAATCGGCCACTGCCAGGAGAAGCTCGGGCGGGAGGCGCAGCAGCGGGAACGGCGTGGGCGGGACCGCGAGGGGCGGCGATGTGCGGTCGCGGCGCCGGCGGGGGACGTGGCGGCGGGAATTGTACGGTCCCGGTTGGCTGCGCCTGTAGTGCGCCGTCATGGGGTGGGCGCTGGAGGGGGTGCAGGGGATGTAGCGGGGACACTCATCGGGGCTGCACGGCATTGTTACAGACGGATTGAGGTGGAGGGGGTGTGAAGGTGCGGGGAGGGAGCGGCAGACGGAGGGAGGGCCGAGGGTTTTATGCGGCGGCGAGGGGAGGTTTGAGGATCTGGCCCCTGGGAGTGGCTGGGATGGGATGGTAGGGTTTAGGGTTGAGTTCGGTTTTGAGGATCACGGTGGTCAGCGCTAGTTCGACGTCACGCTGTGCCAATGTATATACGCCGATTGGTTGCTGCAACTAGGAACGGGACGGGATGATATCGATATCACGTGTGTTGAGAGCAGCGAGCTGGGACATGAAGTAAGTTACGCCCGAGGAGTGGGCGCCTCATCAGTTCCGATACTGGTACTGATACCATGGTGAACGGAACATGGTGGTCGTGGTGGTAAGTGTTCAGCAAGCGAAAGCGGAGTGCAAAGAATATGTAAGCGCGACGGGACTCGAATGGAATCATCGACGACGCGCAACCAGCTAGTCTGGTACTGCGGTGAGCGGGTTCTGAACGCTGGCGGCGATGATGGTGGTGGTGTTGGAGTTATCACGCTGTCGGGTTCTCGAAGCACAACGCGACCCGTCGTTACTGATAACTGGCGACTGGCGACTGGTGACCCGTAGCTCTGTTGTTCATTTCCGAATGCCTAAGCGGAATGCCGGCCGCACGGGACCGGGATCGGCATGCCGAAACTGAAACGGAAACATTGAATTCGGCATGCCGATAGAATGCCGATAGAATGCCGCCCGACTTCAAAACTCGGGGCTTCGGCCTGAATAAAAAAACAGAACCCCACTCTCGGCTGGGGATCTACTACTACTATCACTATCACCGGCAACATGCTAATCAGCACAAATTTGCTACCCGGCAGGATTGTCAAATCCGGCACCTGATGAAGACACGGCAGAGGAGACCGAGGAGCGCGAGGTCAGCCCCGCCAGGTGGTGTCCCGGGCCTCGGAACTGGGCACGGCATCGGGACCACCGCGCCATCGACAGTGTCGCCAAACCGACACCTGTCGGAAGG